TTGGCAGCGTGCCGCTATTTGTATTCATGTGAAATTTAGCCGCTAGATCCTGCTAAATCTCCGCTATAGCTACAGTGCCATAAACGTTTTAGCCCGCTATTTAAAACCTTGAATTTAATTCTCATTCAAAAACAATTAGATTTCGATTACCATAAATATGTTGATTTATTTATGATCATTTTAAATGTATTAATTGTATTCTAATATCATTTCCTATTATAACCATTAAATTGTAAATGTATTTTAAAAGTTGATAACTCTTGTAATTCTTTTCGGTTTTACATATATAATATATCAAATTAAACATCTTTTGATGAGCTTTGATTTGACATCCATATTATATCTATAAAATAAATAAGTTATATTTATTTTTATAATAATAATAAAAATATTTATGAAAATTAATTAAAAAATAAATTTATTTCTCAATTAATATATTTATGTTTAATGTAGTTATATGTTATAAGCTTGAAAACTTATTATAATATAACACAGGTAAGTCGCATAAGTTACAAATGTCATACTAAAATATATAATAATAGATTTTTTTTATATAAAGTATTTAAATTTTTAACCACTTTTTCTCAATAATTTTAAATTTTAAGACAACATTTTAGCAAGCATCCGTGTAATACACGGGTGATGTACTAGTTATCAATATAATTAAATAATATCAATCAATCATTCATACACATCACGTCCACGTTAATTCACTATCCATTCACTCACATTATTTTACCTAACAATTACTTCAAATCATGTATATCCTACTTTAACATCAAATCAATTTTATTTATATTATTTTAAATATTATTTTAATATACTCACTACCAACTAACTATACCACATTTTTTCAAAATTAACCAAACCAAACCAAAGATTCCACAAACACCAAACATTTTTGTATCCAAACATGCTCTTATTCTACATTTTTTTTTTTCAAACGACAATTATATTAATAATTGGAAAACTCAAAAAGAGTACATATGAAATTTCAACTGACACTATATTCAGAAATTCAATAGCGGATACATAATTTTTCATGAGCCTAGGCAAAAAAATTACTTATCATTTTTAAAATTAATTATCTTTATATATATAAAAAAAAAAAAATGTTTATAATATTTTATTCTTTGAATGAGGTGATGTTGATTCATTATTATTCATTCAACAGAAATGCATACTTTATACCATGAAATGACATATTTTTATGTTGATTTTTAAAGTGTGATTCAATTTGAAAGTCTCATATTTATTTAAAAAGTATCATTTTTTAACTTTTCAGCCTCTAACCTCAACCAGAAATACTTGTTGTTGTCCGTTAAAAACGAGTCAGATTTACATTACAATAAGAAGAACAAAAAAAGAAAAAAAAAATCTGGTTCATACTATAAAAGTAATGATAACATTATTTATAAGGAAATCATCATTTAATTCAAGATGAAATGCAAAATATTTTTTGATAACTTTTTTTTTTCTTAGTCGTGGTTATATTGAGCATTTAGTTCAAGAGAAACTAAATAAATAATTTTATTATTTATAAAGACATCACATTTTAGTAGAGAAAATATAAATTTTTCTGTGATATATATATATATTTGTTATGTTTATAATGAGCATTTAATAGTTAACGAGAACACTAGTAAAAAAAATTAGTTGATGAGAAGCTCAATAGCAATGTAGATTTGGACCCATTAAAACAAAGTGAGATGTCCATGTCTTCTTCTTCATCCAATCTTCATTGAAGTCATTTTTCACATTTATTACAGAGACAATTCATACTAATTATACTTATTAGCAAAATTTTAGCTTAGGCAATTGCCTAGGCTGGCTATATGTCAATCCGCTAGTGCAGAAATCATGAACCTACCTCCTTGGTACACAAGTCTGGGTGGCATTTTTTAACCAAAAACCGAACCAAAGCTTTAAAATACCAAACCGCCTTTTACGGTAACCGATTATGTTTCGATACAATTACGATTTAGGATTTTTTATATTTCGGTATAACCGAACCGAACCAACATTTAGTTGGACTTACTAAATTTTAATATTTCATAAAAAGCCGAGCACATATTCATTAATCATTAGTCGTTACATTTCCAAAAGGCCCAAACCCAACTATTATTCTCTCCCTCGGAACCAGAACTCCTCTCTTCACCATATTGGTGCCTTATTTACCATGCGACTTCTTCTCCATGGACCCATTTTTGCTAAACCGATAAAAGAGATCATTTTTTATCAAACGACAAACAATATATTACTAGAAAACTCAAAAGAGTACAGAGACGATGTTAACTGACACCAAAGAACCAGATAACTGGACCTACCACCCTCTTGAACTTTCGGAGGAATCCAAGAGGTACAACTCCAACAAGGAGGCAACTGCAAACCCAAAACAAAATTCCACAAAGGGGAAAAAAACTCCATAAAGGAGATAAACCAGACAAGCTGGACTAACACACAAAAAGCATAAAGAAAGAAAAAAGACACACATCTAATGTACAATTAAACGAGAACCTCCCCTACACCTAACAGACTCGATGCCTAACCACCTGGGACCGCACACGGTCCACATCCAACAAAAATGCATGCTTATGCTATGAAATGACATATTTTTATATTGATTTTTATGCATACTTATTCATTCAACAAAAATACAAACTTATGCTATAAAATGGCATATTTTTATGTTGATTTTTAAAGTGTGAGTCAATTTGAAAGTCTCATATTTATTTAAAAAGTATCATTCTCTAACTATTAAGTCTGCTAGATGATAGCCTTATGGTATGTATTTTTAGCCTCTAACCTCAACCGTAAATACTTGTTGTTGTTCGTTAAAAACGACTCGGGTTTACATTACAATAAGAAGAACAAAAAAGAAAAAAAGAAAAAAAAAAATATGGTTTCATACTATAAAAGTGATAAATAACACTATTTATAAGGAAATCATCATTTAATTCAAGATGAAATGCAAAATATTTTTTGACAACTTTTTTTTTCTTAGTTGTGGTTATAATGAGGAAACTAAATAAATAATTTTATTATTTATAATGACATCACATTTTAGTTCAAGAGAAAATACAAATTTTTTATGAGAGATTTATATATATATTTGCTATGTTTATAATGAGCATTTAATAGTTAAATGCTATAAAAGTAGTAAAAAAAAAAATAGTTGATGAGAAGCTCAATAGCAATGTAGATTTGGACCCATTAAAACAAAGTGAGATGTCCATGTCTTCTTCTTCATCCAATCTTCACTGAAGTCAGTTTTCACACTTATTACAGAGACGGTCCATACTAATTATACTTATTAGCAAAATTTCAGCTTAGGCAATTGCCTAGGCTGGCTATATGTCAACCAGTGCAGAAATCATGAACCTACCCCCTTGGTACACAAGTCTGAGTGGCATTTTTTAACCAAAAACCGAACCAAAGCTTTAAAATACCAAACCGACTTTTACGGTAGCCGATTATGTTTCGATACAGTTACGATTTAGGATTTTTTATATTTCGATATAACCGAACTGAACCGACATTTAGTTGGACTTACTAAATTTTATATTTCATAAAAAGCCCAGCACATATTCATTAATCATTAGTCATTACATCTCCAAAAGGCCCAACCTAACTATTATTCTCTCTATCGGAACCAAAACTCCTCTCTTCACCTTATTGGTGCCTTATTTACCATACGCCTTCTTCTCCATGGACCCATTTTTGCTAAACCGATAAAAGAAATCATTTTTTTCAAACGACAAACAATATATTACTAGAAAACTCAAAAAGAGTACAGAAGCAGTGTCAACTGACACCAAAGAACCAGATAATTGGACCTACCCTCTTGAACTTCCAGAGAAATCCACGAGGTACAACTCCAACAAGGAGGCAACCGCAAATCCAAAACGAAATTCCACAAAGGGGAAAAAAACTCCATAAAGGAGATAAACCAGACAAGCTGGAGTAACACACAAAAAGCATAAAGAAAGAAAAAAGACACACACCTAATGTACAAATAAACTAGAACCTCCTCTACACCTAACATACTCGATGCCTAACCACCCGAGAACGCACACGATCCACATCCACAATCAAAGAGATCCAACAAAACCATAAACCGAAACCTCAAGCCCGAAAAATGCGGCTACTCGTGCCGCCTAGACGGATCTGAAGAAGAGAATGCTCTCGGTTCAGATCTGGACTCCGAAAAACCATCCTCGCTTGGGTGAGGAGAGGAAGCCGCCATGAGGGCACCAACTCGCCTCGTCGGAGTGCTTGAAAGGCGGATCGAATGGACAACAAGCCGCACCAAAGGACCCAAAACATGAACAACAAGACTCTCGGTGGATCTATGGTCGGTACCTCCTCGAGGCTTGGGCCTGAACTCTTGCTGTTGGCGGTCTCGTCTATGGTCGGGGATGACTAGGTGGCGAAGCAACTCGGACCCAACGGGATGAGAGCTCTCCAACCCAATCTCCCACAAAACCTAGAGGAGACGAGAATGTCCTCAGCTTCGAATCGACGAGCTCCTATTCCAGTGGGGCAGAAGCGAGCTTGAAGGTGTAGGAGGGGCGGCGAAAATTGGAGAGGGCGACTGGTTTTTTCGATAGACGGGAGAAGAAAAGAGGCGCGTCCCCTCACGCGTGTTAGTGGGCTAACTGTCGTTATTCTCACAATTCATCCCCTTTGATAAAAGAAATCATTTTGCAAAAATGATTATTTGCGTGGGTGAGTCTTTTCTGTTTTATTTTCTTAGAATATAGTTCCTCACTACAAATTGACAACCAGATTTACCTGTTGTGGTGTGGTTATTAAAGGAAATGGGGATTATTCTTGTTACTAGTTTGGGATAATTAATCAATAACCCGAGGCTTATTAATTTTCCAGATTGAAAGGTTTTTTTTTTATGTGTGTTTCATTATGTTGATTACTTTTAGGAATTGATATGGACAAGGTTGTGTTTTTTTTTTTTTCTTTGCATGTAATGTAATAAGGCATCAAGCATTTGGGCCTTCTTTTTCAGTTTTTTGGAACAAAACCAAAATTGAACCGAGTTTTCGATACTGAAAACTCGATTATTGACTACAAGTCAATTTCATTTTAGTTTTGCATTTTATTGTTACCGAAAATGTAGGTTCAGTATCGACGTGGCTTGTTGGTGATGCTAACCCTACACATGAGTCCAAGGAGTACAAGCTCCATCAAAGAGACAACCACACACACAAAACAAAACCCAAGTCCATAAAGAAGACTAGAACTCCATACGGAGATTGGAAGCCAGACGGAGATGGACTTAACGGAAAAAAATAAAGAAAGATAAAATCAACTCACACCTAATAAACAAAGTAGAATAATACCTCCCCTAAACCTAACATTTGAGCCCTGACGGCCATCTAAGTAGACAACCGAAGCACACGCAGAACGAAGAACGTCAACCGAACAACAAAACTATACATCAGACTCGAAAACTACAGCCACTCAACTGCAAAACTACAGCTACTCAACTGCCTAGACAGATTTTTGGCCTAGATTTGGACTCCGAAGGACTTCAATGCCGATGGAGGAAAGGGGATCCGCGAAGAATATGTTGGAGGGCCTAAGGAAAAGATCCGAGGAGGCACCACCCTCGGCAGCACCCAGCCGAGCCGCCCGGCCGGGCCCGACGGACCGACGCTGATGGGAAACATACTGCCATGGGTGGTTGCAACAGAGCAAGGACCTCCAAGGTGATGAACATGGTGCACACGACCGGCCTCCGTCGAATTGGCGGACTCCTGCGGCTGGTGCTAGAAGCGGCACCGGCGACCCTTCCGGAGTCGAGGGAGATGGTCAGAGGTAAAAACGTTGTTGACCACATAATTTAGGTTTTCTTTTTTTTTTTAGAGAGAGAAAAGAGGGACGTCTTGCGATCGAGTAGGGCTTCAGTTGTTTTCTTTACCTTACATATTCATCCTGGATAATATTAGATAATCTATATTACAACAAGAGTATTTCTAATCAGCTATATAATTGGTCATTTTTTTTTTCTTTTTTTTTTTTTCTTTTATAATGTTAATGTTAATACTCATCTATAAATTAACTTAAGTTGTCCCCTTTGTGGGAAAAAAAACGTTTTTCATATTCGGTATATGTGTCATTTCTTTAATCTTTATGTTCAAGCAGACTATCATGCTTTGAAATAGCTGATTACATCCATTAGACATGTTGTTACCTACTTATATCACTGGCCGCTAGAAATGAAAAAAATAGAATAATTTTTGTATAGAAAAAGATATAGCACCTAAAAAATTATAATCAGACGTTCCTACCCGTTAGATGGCTTTATCATCTGGCCATTTCATATCGCCGGTTATCATTAATACACTTATCATCTGGCCATCACCGGTTATCATTATTTAGTACACTTATCATTTGGCCATTCCCGGTCATCATTATTCAATACATTGACCAGTTCACTTAGTTGTTCAAATTTCGGTGGATACACTGCTCGGCCATTTCACATGATTTTTCATATTTCAAAAGTTGACCCGTCGGCTACTATTAAGTATCATATGCCGGCGGCAGAGCCGCACTAGCCGGTATATGTAGCTACACATATTTATATTCATATCACATGGGTCAATTCATAAATATCCACATGTTCACGTACCAAATATTACAATAGTCAATCCTTAAATATGAACATGCTCATGTATCAAATAATTTTCACAATAACAAAATTCAAGCATTTTAAAACCATATAATATTATAAGCCATATCGATATTGGTCTTAAAATGAAGCTATTATTTAACTTGTTGACATTGAATTACAAATAATAAATTTTAACCATGTTTGTTTCTCATATTTTCGGATATTAGAAATGAGAGTAATAATAGTATAACTATATGTCTTGTTATCAGAAATTCTATGGTGCCACATGTGGCACATGTTATGGTGCCACATGTGGCATCATAGAATATCTGGTCTTGTTATTGTTCAACCACTAATTTAGTTATTTGTGTGTGTCCCATTAAGTGCG